TATATATACACATTACAGATGTTTGAACAAGTGTGACTGTTTAAACGTAAACACTTTAGCAAAACTGGAGATTTGTGTGAAAGAAGGTTGAACAAATACCTGGCCCCTCTATAAATATAGTGGCCTCTTGATGGCCCCTTACTCAGAAAAATCCTAGATCCACCACTKCATTGGATTGACTCCAGAAGTKAATCAGTTTTTCATTGGAAATTTTGCTAACATACAAGGACGGTTGAATCTAAAAGTTGATGTCAAAGTTTCACTCAAATAACTTACATAGTGTGTAGCACTCGGAGTATGTGGTGGAGACAAGTCTAAGCTATCATACCAAATTTTCCCTCAATATTTGTAAAATTGACTGGATTGTACTACTTTTTTTGTGTTTTCTTAGGTGACTTAGCTGTGGCAGCCACCTTGAATTGTGTTGCCTTCAAAATTTTTTCAGTTGTAGAATCCAGAAATTACTTCCTGAGAGTCTTTTTTTCTTAATTCGCCCAGTGGTTCACAAGGTAATTCGAAAACAGGGTTGCCAAAACAGTTAATGCCAAAACATAGATTAAAAAAAAAGACTGAATAAAACAACATGAGATCTTTTAAATCCAACTCAAAATCATACGGTACGCAGGAAGCTGCTGACCTTCTTGAGCACGATGACGCCCTCCTGCGTGCTCCTGTTGGTGGTGATGTCAAACATCCCGGGGCCATCGCTCCCGATGATGTTGTAGACCATCTCGGCGTTGTCGCCAATGTCGGCGTCCATGGCTCGGATGACCCCCACCGCAGAGCCCAGTTCGTTGGACTCAGGAACTCTGAACTCATACAGAGCTGCGGACAAAAGAGGCACGCTTTTTAAACTTGTCACGAAAATAAAAACCTGGTCAATCAGAGCAAGGTTGTTGAAGTTTTTATAGAAAAAAAAAAAAACAGAAACAGAAAAGATCAGGTGTGTGAGTGGCCATGACAACCAAGGTCGCATCCTTGGCGTTTCTTTTTATGTCGAGCTTCTGTCTTCATTCCCAACAAAATCTGTCATTCAGCTAGTGAATCAGTGCTTCTTTATTTTTTATTTTTAATCAGGATGAGAAGTCCCCAAGATAGTCTATGTCTTGAAAATAAATAAATAAACGTGCAGGCCAAAAGTGAAAAATGGCAGTGACCAGAGATTTTCTGTTCGATCTTGTTAATATGAAAAAGAAGCAGCAAGAGTGGATGAGTCAGAGAGCAGGGATACAAGAGTTCAGGTCATTGAGACACAGAGTCAGAGCCAATCAGAGCTGAGGAGGAGGAAGAGGAGGTGTGAGGGGGTTTTAATGATTTGTAGATCAGCGGCGCAGCGGTAAAATACACCTTGTTTCCAAGTCAGCCTCTTTCACACAACTCGCTACACGCTGTATCGACTGTTCGCTCAAAGATTAGGACGCTACATAAATTCTGGGGCCAATTTGCTCTACATAAATTAATTGCCGCTTCTTGATGTTTGTTTGTTTTTTTTCCCTTCTTCTTCTTTTTTCTTCTTATTTTGCCAGATGATTTCCTGGTTTGAGCGAGAGGGGYGGTGAATTGATGGCTACCTGTCGGGAGGCGACTGCATCTCGTGCGTTTAAATAAATAACCGGACGGCAGCAGCGGAGAGCGGCGGTGATATACGCACACACAGCTTGCGGAGACGAACAGCTCTGACACTCTAATAAAACACGCTGACAGCGTTTTGGCAAYGCCTGAGTCGGCAGGTCTGTGTGACACCTAACTCCAAACACACACACACACATGCTCTGAAAGTGACGCTCCAAAAAGAAGGTTTCCCCGAGGCTAACGGGTATTTAGCATCGGCTGGGAAAGAAGAGGCATCACTCCGGCAGACAACAATGATATCGCTTCCTGACACTCTGCCTCCTTTGGGTGTCCCATTACAATATCTCTTCCTCTTTCTCCTCACCCTCTTTTTTTGCCTTTATTCCATCCTCTCCCCTCTCAGCATTGGAGGGGCTGAGGATGACAGGATGTGCCGCCTCCTCTACCCCTCGTCTTGGCGGCAGTGATAAATGGGAGGTGGCTGTGGGAGCTCGGGTGCCACGTGTTTGCCTTCGTGTTGCCCCCACCGCCGGCCAGTTCACAGTTCCTGACGGTAATCTGTCAATCCAATCTGGCCTGCCTTCGCCCRTTCACACAGAAGGAAAAGGGAAGCGGGTCAGTCCAGATAAAGATTGATGAATGAATGCACCGAGGACAGTTTGAGCTCTAAATTGAGAACAGTGGTTTTTATGGAGGGAAAGACTTAACAGAGAGCCGATAAAACCCAGTGAATGCACTCTCTTCATTTAATAGGGATTACAGGGTTGATCTGATGCACTTTGCGGGACCCTTCGTTCCATCATATGGCTCTATATTTAATTATTCTTTGCCTTTAAKAGGTCCGCACACAACCCAGAGCTCCCTGCAATAATCCAGATTCATTTTGAAACTGACACCAGATGGGGGCTGCCTGCCTGCCTGGCAGTGGCTGGCAGCAGCGAAGGACTCTGTGTGCGTTGGAGTCCAGAAGGTCCGTACTCACTCTTAATGAAGCGTGGCGGGTTGTCGTTCACGTCCGAGAGGGCGATGCTGACCGTCGTGGTTCCTGAGAGCCCGCCCATCTGTCCCGCCATGTCTTTGGCCTGGATCACGACTTGGTAGTGTTCTTTGACTTCCCTGTCCATGCCAGGTAGGGCGGTCTTTATCAGGCCTGAGGGATACAAAAACATAGCAGTAATTTACAGAAAGACATGACATGCACAGACAAGCACACACAAGTTTGTGTTTCTATCCTTTTCTGTCCTCATTGTTCATTCTTTCATTTATTTCCACTCATTTCTATAGCCCTAACCCTGACCCCTTACTTTAACGCTAAACCCCTCTGCCTCTCCCAAGTACATCCCTACCCCTACACTTAACCTAAACTCAATTCACACCTTAGTCCTAAATTTAATTCCTAGTTCAAAAATGAAGTTCCGTCATACTAGTACTGGTCTTTGGTTTCCCGTAAGGACTACCAGTCTTGACAAGGTAGCTGTATTTTCCAGAAATGGTCCTAAAAAGCTAACAAATACAAGAACACACACATGTTTGCACAGCTATCCATTTGGGGACATTCCATTGACTTCCATTACATTTCTATAGCCTAACCCTGACCACAAACCCTAGGCTAACTTTGCAGGTACCTACCTGACCCTAAAACTAACCTAAACTCAATTCACACCTTGGTCCTAAACCCAACCCCCAACCCACCAATGGCATTTAAACCAAATGGGGACTCGACTTTTGTCCCCAAATGCACCAGTTGTCCCCAAATGTAGGCATTTTTTGTCTTAAAATTGCCGCAAAGAATGTCACCAGAAACACCCCCCCCCCACACACACACACAAAGAGCTTGGATTTTAAAACCAAAATGAATTAGAAAATATCATTTTTTTTATTTTAGTCAAAATGTACTCCATAACTCTGAGGGTCACCCCACTTGTGTTTGCCTTTTCACCATGACTTTTCACATTTTAAAACTGAAAGCACTTGTTTACTCTTCAGCTGTGGTCATAACAGCTTTTCCGTTGTACCTTTATTTGCACCGGAATGCAAATTTAAAGCCTCATTTTCCAATGAAAATCTGTTAAACTATAAAAAATCAACATTTGTGGAATGTGTTGAACATTTGAATACATATGACAGAACAAAAAAATGTGAACGGGCTATCTGCACATTTGAACTTAGCATCGAAATGAGACAAAATTAATAACTTTTAAAAATTATTTACTCTATGTTTTCTATATATAAAACATAGCTTGGGTGGTTTTAGTGGACAAAAATTGAAAGTTTTGGTATTGCAATTGTGCAGCACTGAATCTGTCAGAATAGATCAGAAATGAAACAAGCAGCGCAGCTTTGAACACTCATTTGCCGTGTGGCAGCTTTAGTCACAAGAACAAACATCGGTAAATCAAGCTACCATATGGCTTCAAAATTAATGAACTGCTTCCACAGGTGGACAGCCTGTTTCTAAATATAAATTGTTTTAAACACTAAATGTTTGTGAGCTGAACTGACGTAATACAGTTTCATCTGTTGGACTCATCTGCTTGCCAGACAATTAAACCAACAGGAACATTTTAATACTGCAGATGTACAGAAATCAGCAGACATCCAGGAGCAGGTTCTGGTGTCTGATTTAACTGGCGAGGGCGGAGAAAGAAGTCCTGCAATCATAAAAAAAAAACAAAAAAAAACGACAGTTCTTTTAGTTCAAGTGTAGCTTCCAAATGCTTTTCAGGATGATTTATCTTCCCTTTGGTGCCGAAACTCCAGTAATGTTCAGGTCTTTTGAATGTGTTCGCCCACAGCTTTTCGTCTCAGTTTTTTTTTTTCTTTTGGGTGGCGGTTTGGAGTCAGAATGGAGCGTTTTTTGGCAGAAGGTTGAAAAGGTGCGCGCCATTTCCCCATCAAATTTGAAATCCTTTCTGCTGGTAAAAGGTTTAATTCAAATCATCGCGCGACAGAGAAGCAGGTGGGAGGACAGACACCCTTAGAGTAAATTTCACTGTAAAAGTAAAACTTTCCGCGCACTCTGACTTAAATAGATGACTTGTTGGAGGCTCTTGGCTCCAAACTCTTTTTCTTCCATTTGTACATAACATGGGAAAAGAAGATAAGACTTTCCATTCTTCTGTTTTCGTACAAAGTGCCATTTATCCGGCGGGTTGTTGAGAAAACGATGGTCGTTCAGGTTGTGTTGCAGCCAAAAGGAAGCGGTCGTATRTAGGAGCTTTAGAGAACAGCACACCGCCTGCGTCTACCTTTGTTATTCCTTAATGACTACAATACCCAGAGAAGAGGAGGAGTGGGGAAACAAATCCTGCTTATAATGCGATGTCCAGGCCTGTCTTTGTTAAGAAGGGAATGTCAGCTTACATACCACATGTGGGATAAACCATATTACTGTTAATCCCCTCACTAATCTGCAAATGGCTTTTTTTTTTTTTTACTCTTTTGTTTTGACACAAGCGGGATGTGTTCCAAAGCGCGCTGTAATGATTAAAAGTAGATCTTTAGGGCTGGTGATTTGCCACTCTCTCAATTACAAATCCCCCCGCCCCCCACCCCCACCCCACTTTACYCATAAAGGAGGAAATGCACTCATGTTTTTAGGTTTCCGTTTAAGGGAAATTAGGTTTGTTCCAGGAGGTTATCTGGTGATGAATTTTTTTTCTCATTTGCCGCAGCTTCAGCTTGCCTCCTCAGTGTTTCTGTTTCCCTCCCTCCAAAAGGGGGAATTGTTGTGTTAAGTTGAGGGGTCAAAGGCGTAGGTGGAGGGTGCAGCTGCTGTAGCGTTGTTAGAGCAGGAGGATGAGACTGCAGCGTTGCGCACATCAGCTAAAGAGCAGCTTTGTCACGTTGGCAATAAACGCTGATTCACTTGGTTATTTTTGTCCATTAAAGCTGATTTTGGGTTTGAAATACAACAAACTCTATGGTTGTCGTCGGTCATAGGAAAGGCATCTTGCTTTGTGTAAAAAAAAAACTACTTGGGGACTAAAATAAAAAAAATGTTGCAATACAGAATGAAACTGAACAACTTGTTGCCACAGTGTTTGAACTTAGGATGAAGAGGGAGAAAAATGTAGAGTTTAAGAAAAATAAATGGATAAACAATCACCAAAACAAAAATAGAGTTTTGCCAAAATGAATAACAAAAGATACCAAAAAATAATTTGTGTTTCGTTAGAGCTTATCAAAACTATAAATAGGTATAAAAACTATTGTGCAAAATTTTGTGCCTTACCTAATCTGTTCACATTTTGCTTCCAAGCAGCCAGACTTTCTTGCAAAGTAAACAATAGTTTTATAAGGTTTTTTTWAACTGTCTTTTAAAGTTTTTCTTTTAGACTTTGGCTGCTTATTTAGTTATTTTTGCTCRTTTCTTTGACCTCACCCCGAGTGCATATAGTGCAGAGAGTAAATTGGACAGGAGGACAATGAAAGAAAAAAAAACTATCTACAGCAGATACGCTATATTTCAAAGTCACGTTTGTAAAAAGATGGAATAAAAATGCATCCYACTTCAGTTAATTATCCACTAAATGTTTTCAGTTAATAGTTTTTTTTTTGGAAATCACCATGTTGGTGCTAAAACACTATTTTATGTGTCAAAATATTTTTTCGTAATTTCAACTAAAGAAGCAGGAACAAAATTGTGTCTTTGTGACAGGCTGCTGGTAACCAAGCACCTAATTATCCTATTTAAATTGGTTTCTTTTGTTATGTCTGTTTTGCGTCAACAAAACACTAGTTCACCCCTTGAATTTAAGAGCCATCTTTTTTTGTCCAAATGACTTATAGGTCAGGTAATGTGGTTTAACAAAAAAAAAAAAAACCTGTTTAAAAATGGAGAAAAAGTCCAAAAAAAAAGTTTGAAAAAGTTTGAAGATGATAAAGTGTACTTTAAATGATCAAAACAAGTCTGGCTGCTTAAAACAAAAACTTGTGAAAAAGTGAAGATTTCCAACTTTAGTATTGTGTGTGGATAAAAAAATTAAACAATATTTGGCCAAGTCTTTTAGTTTTGTGATTTAAGCTCCCTGCCTGGAAATACTAAAGACCTTCACATCAAGTCACTCGTGTCTGCAATTCATTAGTATGTTCAAATTTTAAAGAACAGCATGCAAATCAATAGTAAATGTCAGTGTGGTTTCTGTTTCTTTTGGAAAACAGTTTAAACATTAATTTTGCACAGGATTGTGGAAATATGGATATTTTTTGGATTTTGTATCCATTGATAAGAAAAAACAAACAAACATGTGGGCTAGAACTAACAAACTGATGTGTAGTTATGATAGGCTGAGTCATCACTGACCGGTATCAGGGTCCACAGAGAAGTACGGTTGTCCCTCCAGGATGCTGTACACCACCCTGGCGCTGTTCCCATATGTGGCGTCATCTGCGTCCGTGGCCGTCACCTGAATCACCGGCGTGCCTGTGGAGTGAGTGGGGTGTGGAAAGAGATTCATGACAGTGACTTAGATCAACTCTTCAATGCTGACGAAAAATTGCCCGCTGGATAATTGGTTAAGCCGATGCCCCTTCTGATGAGGTGTCCGATCCCCTTCTAATCACAGCCGCGCAGAATTTGACTGATCATTTTTGTCTCTTCGTGTTACCCCGAGCCATCTTTATCCCGCCGCCACTTATATCCCTCACACATGATTGATTTCCACAGGTAATCGATAAGTCCTAATGTATTTTTTCTAAGTATATCTCTCTTAGGCATGAATGCTGGCTCCCTTCAAAACCCTGAGAAGCCTATTAGCGTTTCGGCGGATCTCGAGTGTCTGAGAAGCCAAATATCTGATAGCAGGATTGTGATCCATTTCTCTCTTCCAGAAAGCCCCGTTTCAGTGGAACAAAGGGAAACGGTTAGCCAAGTGCTACCTCCCAAATGGCGCCTTGCGGGGCCAAGTGTTGCCTCATTACATGCCGAGGAAAATTAATTGAGTAGAAATATTTAATAGCAAAAGTGGTATAAATATAGAAACGTTGCAATGCAACGGGATAACGACCTGATGAGACTTTGCTAATTTGATGTCAGCTGAGGTCTGTGTGGAGGGGGCTGCTGGTGGTGGTGGGGTGGGGGGGGGGATACTTTCTCTTCTTTAAAATCAATGGATGAGGGATGAAGAGCAGACAGAGAAAAGACCACGGCTGTCTGACTCAGTGTAAGTGACAGTTTGTTAAGAAAGTTCACCGAACCCTGATCACTAATRCCTTTAACAGGAGAATTAGACTCAAAGAGGCTTTTCTGACTTAGAAAATATCACTGATCCACATCAGCCATCTCGTGGCAGACTTTAAGCTTTTCAGAACASCTGACAAACAAGGCAGGAGTAATCACAGTATAGGTATTTTTGTGTGGCTGGCGGGGGGTGGGGG